TCAAAAAGAAAATATGTGATTTGTGTGACAAAATGAGTAAAATCATGTGTATTATGCAAAGTTTCTTAAATATAAAGTTGTTTTATTGGACTTTCTGTATTTGAAGTATATACATGTCACAGGCACTTTAACTACATCGTTAAACTTTAGCTGTTTTAAGTCTTTTTTTTCAGAGACAACAAATTAAAAAGGTGAAACAAGTGCTAACAAATCTGCTCTGAATCAAACCTTTTTGAGTCGATTCCATTAAATATATTTGCCACTTTGTAAATAAATAAATGAATGAACAGATGGATGGAATTTATTAAAAAATTTTAGTCAACAAAGAGCAAACGCTGATAATTCAGTGTTGATGCGTTTACTCAGAACGTGAGCCAGCATGGAAATGTGGTTAACTTGTGCTAAATTAATACTGTTGATTTTCTTCGCTAAAAATCTTATGATACGTCACTACATCCTTGATATTTTCTATAAATTTGCTTTTCACGTGCAGCAGTGCCAAACTCATTTACCCCAACTCTGTTCCTAACTACAGACCAAATCTTCTGACTAATGGACTTGAATATAATTTTAAACAAAATCTGAACAAGAAAATCCAAAYTCCACACTCAAAACTATTGTAAAAKGTTTTCCCAGAATCCTTTGCAGCTGGGAGGTCGTTCAGTCACAGATGTTTTCCAGAGTTTGTTTCGATATTTCAAAAAGACACATCTGTGCTTGAATCTGGGGCATATACATATTAATAATTGTTCTTTAGTGTTTATAATGTTTAAACWGAAACATGGTTTTACAGGCTGTAACTTTTAACAGCCACGTCTGAATAAATTACGACATTTCTGAAAATGTATCTGTTGGAAAGAACTGATTTAAAGGTAGAATATGAAGATTATTATCTGTTTAAGTTACTAGCAGTGCTAGATGTGTCTTTATAAGCTCATTTATGCACTGCTGATTGTTTTTATTCTGACTCTTTTTGCCATGGATCACATATAAAATATATWTTTTTCTGTTGGTCTTAAGGCTTCAGCGTACTCATGAACCTAGAAATGACTTGTTTTTCTCCGGGTTTTGCTTTGGGAGTTCTTGTGAGAAACCAAGACTCGTTCAGAACGACTGAACAGTTTTAAAAGAATTGTATAAATCTAGAGTTTTTCTGTTTATTCTGATTGTTTTAGTTTAATTGAGCCGGCAMGAAAGTTAGAGGCGTACGCCGTAATGGGAGCTCATGCAGTTACTGCTGCGAGTTTAGAGAAGCTGCAAACATCAGCCTGCAAACAAAACCCCACAAACTTCCTACTGAAGGGGAAAAGCAGCAGAGGTCAGGGTGTTTGTCAGCCACGTTATTGTTTGTCTGCCTCATGCGTACGGGATAAATCTTGTGCCAACAGGAACTCAGTTTGAATTGCTCAGAGTGAATCTGAATGTGTATAATTTGAAACTGAATGCATTGGTTTGAAAATTAATTTTACTAAATTGAAACTGAATTTAAAGTTTTGTATCTGAATTAATTTGCTTTGAAACTGTATTTTGGTTTATTAAAAATTCACTTTGACTACTTTCACTTTCAGTTCCATAATTCAGATTTTTGTGTCACATCCTGGTCCTTGAGAAAGCCAGGCAGAGTAATCAAACACAGATCCACAGATTTATGTTTCACTTTGGTGAAGTTTCCCTTCTGTATGTAACAGAGTTGATGCAATCCACTGTAAAAGTGACAAAAACAGACAAAGTTATTTTATTGCAGTGATTAATTTGACCTATATGTAGAAAATGTTACATTTACATCACATCATGGATCACATATTGATCAGATGCTGCTGCTGACTGATCCATGATGTCATGTAAATGTAACATTTTCTACATATAGGTCAAATTAATCACTGCAATAAAATAACTTTGTCTGTTTTTGTCACTTTTACAGTGGATTGCATCAACTCTGTTACATACAGAAGGGAAACTTCACCAAAGTGAAACATAAATCTGTGGATCTGTGTTTGATTACTCTGCCTGGCTTTCTCAAGGACCAGGATGTGACACAAAGATCTGAATTATGGAACTGAAAGTGAAAATAGTCAAACTGAATTTTTAATAAACCAAAATACAGTTTCAAAGCAAATTAATTCAGATATAAAACTTGAAATTCAGTTTCAATTTAGTGAAATTTATTTTCAAACCAATGCATTCAGTTTCAAATTATGCACATTCAGATTCAGTTCCTGCTGACACAAGATTGATCCCATACATGCGTGTGTGGACCGGTGCAGTCAGGGCGGAGGGGAGGGAGGCACAGGCCCAGGTCGGGGGCATCTCTGACAACACCTGCTTCTCTGATTTACTCATCCTTACCCAGAGGGTTTTATTTATTTTTTTARTTTTTGCTTATTAAAATGCTCCAACACGGAGGAATGAGCACAAAGAATATCAAATCCCAGCGACTAATAGTGGAAACACGAGAGGTTTTAATCAGCCGGGTTGTGTTACTAAGTGTCACCTGAGCAGGTAAATATTTAACAGGTTGCCAGAGTGCCAGAGGCGGAGCGTGTGCCTTTTTCTTTTTTTGTTACGGTTTCACTTGCAGCAAAACAAACGTGTTTAAACAAGACATTTAGTTCCAAGCATTAAACAACAACATAATAAATAAATAAAACCATGAGTTTGTGGCTCAAAGCATAACGTGAAGCTGAAAACAAAAAGGTGAGCATGCCAGGACACTCAATCAGCTGAACACTGTGTACAATCAGAAAAGCTTCAGGGCGATGACGGGCTGGTATGGATACAGGTGATTAATTCGATCTCATTCAGGTTCATCTGGTGGTGCTGGATTTAACATCCCACCTGATTACATCATGATTCTCATTTATTTGTGGTTGTTGTGTAGCGTAGGTGGAGCCTAAAGCTAAAGATTACTGCTGAGCAGGACGGCTGGTGTGAGAGCAGGGCTAAACTCTTCCTGGTGTTTTCAATAAAAATGTTCAAATATCTAATTAACAAATTTAAATATTGCATCACATTTTGTGTTAATTACAACAAAACTGTCCTTCTCTTCATTTACTGTCTTAACAGAATGATTGACAGACGTTTTGTCCCGCCCTCTCATTGCTGCTCATCGGGACTAGTTTTGTTCAGCCCAATAAGACGTAAAATAACGTGCCTCAAGTAGGAGTGTATGTGGGCGGGGCTTAGTGTTGACTGAGTCAGTAAAATGGCGAGATTAAGGTTACAGAGGAGGATTATTTAARTTCTCACCTGTTTTCCTTAAAGTGGGAAAAACTGGAAGTAAAGAGGTTGGAGGCCAATAGATCAAAGAATACTTCAATGCAGCAAAAGGACCTGGTTTCAATGACAAGACTGGCTAACAAATCTGTTTTCTGATTTGGTTTGTTTTACGTTGTCTTTGTACTGAAAAAGAACCTAACGCCAATTTATGCCACGTTTTATTTATTTCAAAGTGGATGCTTCTGTTCAATCCAATCTGCAGCTGGAAACTGTTAGCTAAAAGCTAAAAGGAGAATAAAGCTAACCAAAACTTGAAACTAACAACAAACTAGGAGACGGAAAACAAGAAAATGTTGGCAAAAAGTAGCAAAAGGCTAACTAGAAGCTAAAAGAAACAAAATGCTAGCTAAAAGCTGAAAGTACCAAAAAAACTACCTAAACGCAACAACCATCAACACACTAGCAAAAGCATCAAAATGCTAGCTAAAAGCTAACTGTAGCAAAACATTTGCTAATTGATTAGACACAAAATGCTAGCTAAAAGCTAACTGTAGCAAACATTTGCTAAATGATTAAAGACACAAAATGCTAGCTAAAAGCTAACTGTAGCTAAACATTTGTTAAATGATTAAAGACAAAATGCTAGCTAAAAGCTGAAAGTACCGAAAAACTACCTAAATGCAACAACCATCGACACACTAGCAAAAGCATCTAAATGTTAGCTAAAAGCTAACTGTAGCTAAACATTTGCTAAATGATTAAAGACACAAAATGCTAGCTAAAAGCTAGAAGTAGTAAACACTAGCTAAAAGTAAAAAGCAAAGAAATGCAAATGACTAGCTAAAAGATGCTAAATATTCCCTAATAAATAACAAACATACAGTAAGCTAAAAGCATCAAAACTCTAATAGTTGAAAGTAGCAAAACAGTTAAAATATTAAAGTAACAAAACACTAGCTAAAAGCCTGAAGTACTGAACACAAGCTAAAAGCAAAAAGCATCTAAAAGCAAGCAAAACAATGGAAAACCCAAGCTAAAAGCTAATTGCAATAAGGCATGAGCTAAAWATTAAGACACTAATTAAAGGTCAAATGTAACAAAACATGTAAAGGCAAAAAGATGCAAAATGCTAGCTAAAGAATAACAAACATTAGCTAAAAGAAAAATGCATCAACACACTAGCTACAAACAAAAAAAACTAGCTAAAAGCTACAAGTAGCTAACATTAGTTAAAAGATCAAAGTATTAAAACAGTAGCTAAAAGCAACAATCATCAAAATGCTAGCAAAACAATAAAACAAAACTAGCTAAAAGCTAATTTTAACAAAATACTAGCTAAAAGCTGCAAAACTGCAGTTTTTCTGTGACCCGGACTGGCTAACAGCAAGTGTAGCAAACTAATCGTTTTTCTGCTTTCAGTTTTATTATGTCTGTTAGCCCAAGCTACATCACCAGCCGTCACTGCTACTGAGAGGGTTTTAGCCATAAATTAATAAAAACTGTTGTCATGAATGAATGAAAACATTCYTATTTGTCATCATGCTCTTGTTTAATTGTCTTTGTTTACATGATTTAACCTGCAATAACTGGGGTAAGCTGAAAAGTCCTGAACCAAGACTCAGCTTTTAGCTAAAACAAAAAGCTGTTTTTTTATATATATATATAAATTTTAGCACACTGTACCGTAGCAGCCCTGCTCACCAGATATTTCTACCACCAACTGGTTTTTCCAGAGAGGCCGTGTGTTGGCCGTGTTGTTTCTGCAGCAGTGGATTTGTACTCACCCCGTTCCACTCCACGCCCATACTCACTTCCTCGCCGGTCTCAGAGCCYCTCTCGTACTTAACGCTGGTCAGGCTGTCCCTGCTCCTCCGCCGCTCTCCCTCCGTGTCTTTCAGGAGCTCCACCACGCGTGTTTGGTGGATGGGATCGATGCCCTGCGGTGTGCAAAAAACAGAAACATAACACTGGAGAGGACACAAATATCTGCTGGAGGATGTGAAGGAAGGAGAATGACGCTCTTTTTATGGAGGAATTAAAGTGATTTCATGTTTCCTGCCTCCTTTTTATGCAATCAAAGCACATTTCCAGAGGCAAGCGAACATTTGAAACAATGTTAGGGTGGGGACAGGTAGGGGCTCTAGGAGGAGCTAACAGAGACAAACCACTTACTGTGTTGCTCTGGATCCATCGCAAAGGAAGAAAAGGGAGAGAAATAAAGTGAGACGTACTTTTCTAACAGCAGAAATCTCAGCTGAGAGAAACCAGAACACTGACCTGCTTGCGAGACCTCACAGCGCACTCCTCCAGGGTCTCAGCGGCCTCTAGTTTGCCCTGCCGGCGGTACAGGGCGCCCAGGTTCCTCAGGGTGGTGTTGACTGTCGGGCTGCATGCAGGAGACACTCAGAAATCCACTCAAAGTCACACTGAGCTAAAAAAAAAAAAAAAAAGAGTGCGGGGTCTCACCTGTTGACTTTGCAGGCCTTATACCAGCCACCGTACTCTCCATACGGGGTGTTGTCTCTGTGTTTGCCCTGGAAGTAAATCCCACAGCGGAGGAAGAAAAAAAAAAAAAAAAAACACGTGAGGGGAAGTTGTGGTCACAACTGGAGAGGTGACATTTTTTGTTTCATGTCCTCTGAAGGTTTTAGAGCGTGTCCTTCATGAGGTGAGTTCAGATTTTAACCGGCTCTGCTGCTCACCTTGCTCATCTCCTCACGCTCCTCTGCGTGCATCCAGATGGGTTTGTTCTCAGCTGCAGACAGACAGGAGAAATGATCCACATATAACACAAGCAGCGGCAGACGCTACGCTGGCGAAGGCTCGAATAAAACTCAAACATAACAGCTCTTAAAAGTWAAAAAAAGAGTCAGTTTTTTATTAGGTTTTAACAGTTTTCATAAACATTTTTGCAGATTGTTTCTATATTTAAAGCATGAGAATCCAGAGTGATACAACAAAATAAAAAATTACCAAAAAAACAAATTATTAATAATTTTCATGACTTTAAAGTTTTCTATCAGGCAATCTGCACGGACTACAAAACAAACATATTCATGAGCAACCTGCTGCTTTACATTTCTTTTTAACAGAAGCTATGTTTTAAAATAAAAGCAGATCAGAAACCAAAAGCAAACTTTTCATAAGTTTCAGTTGAGTCCTCTGAACGGTGAAGACCGGACCCCCGGTTAGCTAACTGTATGAATTCAGTGTTTTAAGGGGAACACCGAATGGTTCTAACATCAGAAATCATTTATTTTAACATTTTTGTTACTATTTACTTACTTTAAAACTACAAATACTGTAGGTTGTTTAGCATTATTAGCTTGGGAACTAACACTATAACACTAATCATAAGTATTAGCTTAGGCACTCACATGAAAGCTAAAAGCTCACCTCAGCGTTAGCCCTTTACCTTTCGTGGTAATGCCTGAGCTAATATATACATGATATATAACTTTAGCTAAATATGAACTAATGCCACATATTTATTAGTAATATGTATCGCAATATATGGCGTCATATAAAGCTAATAATGTTAGGAGCTAACGCTACATCGTCATATATGTATTAGCCTGGATGCTAACATAATGGCTGTGTCTCAATTCATGGGTTGCAGCCGACGTAGGACGTGAAAGCCAAAAGGCTAAAGCTGAGATGAGCCTTTAGCTTTCACATTAGCACCTGGGCTAATACATATTCATATATAGCGATATAACTTTAGCTAAATATGAACTACATATTTATTAGTAATATGTATAAATATATGGCATCATATAAAGCTAATATTGTTAGCTCGGGTGCTAACATGAAAGCTAAAAGACAAAACTCTATAAAAACTAAACATCTTACAGTGTTTTTACTTTCTTTGTTTTACAGTTGAAGTAACTGAAAGGATCAAATAATGTCTAAAGTTACAACCAGTCCAGGGTCCCTTTAAGGCCGACTCTCCACCTGAACAAGTTTGTAAAAATCTGACTGAGATCCAGCGGCCACTACGAGGCCTTACCATCCACAGATCCAAACTCCTTCTCGTGAGCACGGGTCAGAATCTCTTTGTACAGGATCTCAGCCTCCTTGTATTTGCCCTGTTTCAGAAAGCAGGAGGCCTGAAGAAGAAACAGAGGAGACGGTTTATTACAGAATCCAGTTAAAGTGAAGGAAACCATCTGTAACACGCCTGAGTCARAGCCACGCTGTCACTGCCTGGAACTTCTGTCTCACCAGGTTATTCTTGGTTTTGGCCACGTTGGGATCGTCCGGGCCCAGCCGGCACTCGTAGATCTCCAGGGCGCGGCAGTAGTAGTACTCCACCTCTTCGTATTTGCCCTGGTTCTGGCACAGGAGGGCCAGGTTGTTCAGCTGCTTGGCCACATCTGGGTGGTCCTTCCCCAGAACCTGAGGACGATTTGGGAATAAAATATCTGGAGTTAGCACCTCGTCTTCCTGACTCACTGATGTTGGCTCCACTTCCTGATGAGATCTAATAAAAGACTGGCTGATCAATAGTGGACTGAACCAGGCTTTCAGGCTAAAAGAGACTCTCTGAACTCTGCTGAGTTCATTCATTTCTCAGCTCCACCCTCACCTCTCCCCAACGATTACCATCTATTTTCAGCAGCTCTCAATTAAAACCTCTACTTCCCTTCTCTCTTACAGCAGAGGAGGGCTTGAAGTGACATTATTACCACAGCTAATTATTTCATTACAATAAGCTACATGTTCACTGGTCTGCTGAGGCGCTCCTGGAACCTGACCCACCTTTTCTCTGATCTCCAGAGCCCTCTTACACAGAGGCTCGGCTTCTTTGTACTTCCCCCTCTTTCCGAACAGAACAGCCAAGTTGTTGAGTGTCGCAGCGACCTGCAGACACAAAAACACAAACCTGAACCCAAGAATCAACAGTTTCTGTGAAAACTGACTCTGATGGAATTTATAAAGGAGCTAAAACAGAGCTGTAAAGCTAAAAGAAGCAGAAAACAAGCTAAAAGCAGCTTAAAGCTGAAAATAGCAAAAGACTAACTAAAAGCTAAAATAACTAAAAGCTAGCTTAAAGTCATAAGTAAAGTACTAACTAAAGGTTAAATGTAACAACAGGCATGCTAATATGAATAACAAAGGATTAGCTAAAGGTAACAAAAGGCTATTTTAAAATAGAAAAAGGTTTGCTAAAAGCCAAAATTAGCAAAATGCCAACTAAAACCTCAAAAAACAAAGGACAAGTTAATAAAAATAGCAAAGAACTAGCTAAATGTAGCAAAAGGCTATTTTAAAATAGAAAAGGTTTGCAAAAAGCTAAAATAACTACTTTGTAAAAGCTAGCTTAAAGATAAGTAAAGTACTAACTAAAGGTTAAATGTAACAACTGGCATGCTAATATGAATAGCAAAGGACTAGTTAAATGTAGCAAAAGGCTAATTAAAAAAAGGGTTTGTTAAAAGTAAAAAGTAGCAAAGGCTACCTAAAAACAGCTAAAGTTACTAGAAGCTAAAAGCAGCAAGATGTTCACTAAAAAGTAGCAAAAGGCAAGCTAAAACATCATAACTAGCTAAATAAACAGAAGTAGCAAAAAGCTAGCTAAGTAGCAAAATGCAATCACAAGTGCCGATGAGCAGTTTGTTAAAAAAAAGTGAATAAAAAAATTGAAACAATAAATGATGACTCAGCATTTTACGAACAAACTAAATCCTCTCCCTTCACTTCAGACTCAGTGGGATGGTTTAAAGAACTATAAAAGTGCTGACTTAATATTGCTWAAAGCTTTTTTTAGTGTTACCTGCCTTTAGAAAAAAGCAACACTTATTGTAAAGAAAAAAAAAGCACACAAATCAAAATGAAAAGGAGCTTCAGGATAAAAACTTTGAAGGTTTCAGTCCACAACATATGCACTGCCTCGTAAACCTTCTACTGGTTTTTATGTTTGTTTTTTTTCATTTTATGATAGAATTTTTCAGGTTTTGTCCAAACTGACCCTCTGAGCCCGCCCTGAGAAGTCACATGAAAAACTAAAACAATCCTRACTTCATGAGAAATATCTGCTGAGATGATAAACATAATTCTGAGCTGATGTTTGCATTATTTAGAACAAAAAAATCTTTATACAGCTGTGGAGTCTTACAGCTGGATGGTCTTTGCCCAGGGTTTTCTCACGGATGGAGAGCGCATCGTTGAGCAGATGAGCCGCCTCTTTGTATTTGTTTTGATCCCTGCATTAATGAAGGAGAAGACAACAGCAAATTAAACAAACAAACAATAAAAGGAAAAACAATAAATCCTGAAGTTTTTAGTCTGACCTATAGACCAGGGCCAGAATGTTAAGCATGGTGGCAACGTCAGGGTGGTCGTGTCCGGAGGTCTTCTCCAGGTCCTCCAAGGCCTGRTTGCAGAGGGGCACCGCCACCTCGTACCTGCCCTGTGAGGCGTACTGGATCACCAGGTTGTGCAGGGTTCTGAGGCGAGCCGGGATCTCGTAGCCGCCCTGCTGGGCCGCAGCTACAGCCGCACTGTTGTGTTGGTGCTGCACTGTGAGAGACAAAAAGAAACAAACACAATCAGTTTATGTGAAAATAAAATGAAAACAAATAAACAGTACCCTAGTTTCAGACTCTACAGTAGAGTTCCTTTATGTTTATGAACTTACTTCCTTGACCCTGCTCCTCTTCATCATTGGGAAACAGGTCGTCCAGGTTGTCCTTCGGTGTCTCTTTGTCCTTCTCCTCCTGCTGATGGAACAAATAAAGCTGCTGTTCAGACTAAGCAACAAACAAGAACGATGGAAGGCAGTTTGTGAGAAATCAACAAAGTCAACAAACAAGCTGAAATAAAAAATCCCCAGCATATCTATTTGTTTATTTGTTTATGTGTTTATTAATGATTATTACCCTAACAGCCAGTTAGCCTGCTGGATCATCAGCCTGTTGGCCTAATAGCTTGTTATACTTATCAGCKTGTTAGGATACTAGATCCTTTTGGCCTAGTAGCTTATCAATCTAATAGCTTGTTAGTAATGTCAGCCTATTAGCCTAACAGCTTGTTAGCATACTATATCATCCGTCTGTCAGCCAAGTAGCTTATAAGCTTGTTAGCCTAGTATCTTATAAACTCATTAGCCTAGTAGCTTATCACCTTGTTAGCATAGTAGCTTATCAACTCGTTAGCATAATAGCTTATCAGCTTGTTAGCCTAGAAGCTTATCGGCTTGTTAGCATAGTAGCTTATCAGCTTGTTAGCCTAGTAGCTTATAAACTCATTAGCCTAGTAGCTTATCAGCTTGTTAGCATAGTAGCTTATCAACTCATTAGCATAATAGCTTATCAGCTTGTTAGCCAAGTAGCTTATCAGCTTGTAAGCCTAGTATCTTATAAACTCATTAGCCTAGTAGCTTATCAGCTTCTTAGCATAYTAGCTTATCAGCTTGTTAGCCTAGTAGCTTATCATCTTGTTAGCATAGTAGCTTATGAAGTCATTAGCATAATAGCTTATCAGCTTGTTAGCCTAGTAGCTTATCATCTTGTTAGCATAGTAGCTTATCAACTCGCTAGCATAATAGCTTGTCAGCTTGTTAACATTGTAGTTTATCAGCTTGTTAACCTACTAGCTTATCAGCTTGTTAGCATAATAACTTATCAGTCTGTTAGCCTAATAACTTATCAGTTTGTTAGCCTAATAACTTATCAGCTTGTTAGCCTATTAGCTTATCAGCTTGTTAGCCTATTAGCTTATCAGCTTGTTAGCCTATTAGCTTATCAGCTTGTTAGCCTATTAGCTTATCAGCTTGTTAGCCTAATAACGTATCAATCTGTTAGCCTAATAACTTATCAATCTGCTAGCCTAAAAACTTATCAGTCTGTTAGCCTAATAACATCAGTCTGTTAGCCTAGTAGCCTATCAATCTGTTAGTTTGTTAGCTTGTTAGCCTGGGCCTCTTTTGAATGTAAAGGTCTCACACACCCTTAAAAAGATTARATAACATCACAAAAATACACAAATCACTTATTCCAGAGTGCTAACAATCATTCAACAAAGTGTCAAGTTTTACTTACGGTGGGTGAGACGTCTTCGTCATACTTTTTGAGCTGGTTCATGAACTCCAGGTGCTTCTTCTCRTCCTCCAGCTGGGCCACGTTCTGCTCGCTCTTCTGCAGCTTCTGCTGGGTGTTGGCCAGCTCGTCGCGCAGCCACTGGTTCTCCTGGCAGAGCCTCCTCACCTGCGCCCGCAGCTTCTGCTTCTCAGACTCCACAGCGTTCAGGTGGTTGGACAGGGCCATCATCACCTGCAACGGAGACGGCATGGAGGAGACGAGGGGGAATAAGACGAGGCAGAGGAGAACACATCTGGTCTGAGTCTGGGTGAATCATGATCACCACACAAGCTCAGTATAGAATGAGGAAGTACAGAAAACAAGCCATCTTTTTCTGTCAGTTTTAATCTTCATAACTTCAGCTTCTATACCTGTGCTTCTCCCAGGCCCAGCTCAATCATCTCCACTGACTTGCGGAGCAGATTGGACTTCTCGTGGACCAGGTTGGCCTCTTCGTCCTTCTTTAGGCACTTTATGGTCTCCAGCAGGCTGTGGAGGATGGAGTTGTGCTCATTCTTCAGGGCCTCCAGACCCTGGATCACCAGCTTGGTGTTGGAGATGATCTCCTCCTGAGAGAGCTTCTCGAGCTTCTCCTCCCGCGGGTACACCATGGTCGACATCTTCTTTAAAGCTCAAGGAAACCTGGAGATTTGAAAACAAGATGGTGGAACTAAACAATAAATAATGTTGGCAAAAACAACGACAATAAGGTCCAATAAGATCTGTCATGTTAACAAAATATCTCATGAACCACTGGATGGGTTTATTAAAARGTTCAGAAATTATACAGTAATAATCTTGAGACACCAGGTAAAAAAAACTGGAAAAATGTAGATTTTATATTAAAATACATCTTAAGTGACTGAAGAAACTTTACTGTCGAAGATAAAACAAGAACAAAAGCTAAAACTAGCAAAAGGTGAAGGCCAACAAACTGATAGGTAAAGGCTAACACCAGCAAAACATTCCCTAAAAGTTATAACAYCAATACCGATAGCTAAAATCAGCTAAATGGATGTTAAAAGCTAAAACTGGCAAGACAGTAGCTGAAAGCTTACAGGATCACAACAGTATCTGAAAATTTAATTAGGAAAACCTTAACTAAAAGCTAAAGTTAGAAAAATACTAGAGAAAGACTAAAACCAGCAAAACGTTCCTTGAAACTTATAAAAGCAAAATCAGAAGCTAAAAACTAAAATTAACTAAATGTTGGCTAAAAAGCTAAAARTGGAAAAACAGCTAAATCCTAAAACCAGTAAAAAAACAAAAAGAAGCCTAAAGCTAAGATTTGCAAAATGATAGTTAAAAGCTAAAATTGTCAAAACAGTAGCTAAAAGCTAATATGATCAGAACAGTAACTAAAACACAAATTAGCAAAACCTTAGCTAAAGGCTAAGGCCAATAAAACATTAGGTAAAAACTAAAACCAGCAAAATATTAGGTTAAAGCAACTAGCAAACCAGTAGCTGAAAGCTAAGACTAGCTCAGTAACTATAAAATAAATTAGAAAAAGTAACTAAAAACTAAAACCAAAAAGAAAAACATCCCAAAAAACGTTCATACCAAAACCAGGAGCTAAAAGCTAAGATTAGCATAATGTTTAATAAAATAGAAGAGTTGCAAAACAATAGCTAAAACTTAAAATTAGCAGCCAAAACTCACAGAAAGTAGCTTAATTTCAAAAGTCTGCCACAGCCAGGTGTCATTTGAAAACACAAACTGGCTGATTTCAGATTCAGAGCTAACAGCTAACGGAGGTAGCTGAGAGTCATCTTTAGCACTGAGGGCTAACAGGTCATGTATGTCACGTAGAAGCATTCCCTCACCTCTGACAGAGTTAAACTSATCTGAAACATTTCTCTAATGAACTGGAAGCAGTTTTAAATTACAACTTGAGACGATATTTCCTCGTATGAAACAAAAGATGTTGGACCACTCCCTGCAGACGCTAACAGACACCAGGTCTACCTGATGAATTATTATTCTGCTGCAGGAATTTAATACATGATGACATGCAAGATAAAAGAAAAAAACAGATCCACAGCTTTAAGCAAAGAGGCTACAGGACAGAATAAGCTGAAGGAAGAGCGTCAGGCTTTGGCAGCTGTAATAAAGCTCAGTCTGGGAGTGGAGCTGCAGCACACTGCGTGACACAAAGACGCTGCAGCACCAGTGGGTCCTGCTGCCAGCATCAGAACCCAAGCCAGCCCTGGAGTCTACACGACCTGACAGAAACCACTGAGCCGAACCTCCTAAAATACTGCGTTTAAACCCAAATATAAATAAATAACAGGCTTCAGCTGAGAGCACGGACCATGTGATGTTTTCCAGCCTGAGTCCGAAGGTTAACGATGATTCAAGCAGACTTCACTACCGGCCACATCGTCCAAATGTCAGAGAAAAACAAGACAACGCCTTTAGAACCACTTCAATCTGTCCTTTAGATGCAGTTTGGACCAACTGGTACAAACAAACCCACCAGAGGAGAACCCTTAGTTTTAATGTGTATTTATAATTAACACTGACATCAGCACAGGCTTTAATGAAAGCAATAARAAGGATTTCATATGTCCTAAAAAATGCAGAAAAAATTATTAAACCAGCTGTTTTTCCCACCAGATAGCCCTCCTGTTAGCCTTTAATGTTGTTAAACTTTGACTGCTGCTTCAGAAAAATACACTTCAATAAAAAACATTCCTGGTAACGTCKATGTTCATGGGAAGAAACTGGAGTCCCTGGAGGAACAGAACCGTCATGTGTGGATCGATACCAGAACTTTATGTTCCAAAATCAACTCTAAAATCATAATATTGATACTGTGATAATGCTGTTGTTTCAGGTGATGTTTATAATTAACAGGAACACAGCYGAATAAAACTAAACTGTTGAAATCCTGTCTAAATCACATGTGGCTGACAGGAACTGGTTGAGCGATAAATCGATTTAATCAATTAATTTGAATTTGCCATTTTTAAAGATTTAATTTTGGGAAAATCTGTTTTTTTTCCTCACCAGTGCATTCTTTGGAGCTTCTGTAGAAGTCACCCCACCTGTCCCTCAACACGCTTGGTACACGACATGACAATATGGCAGCTAGCAAAGAGGATCTACCTCTCAAAAAAGCCAGTGTTTCTTCAGTTTTCTGGAACTGGTTAGGTTTTGCAACTCTTGCTACAAAAAGCAGGAATACGACAAATTTGTTTCAACACCTGAAACAGAGGCACTCCGTTAAGTGAAAAACTGATAAAAATCAAAAATTGAATTTGGGACTTTTTTTGCTTTTAGCAAAAAAAGTAGTTCCTACTAGGACTGGGTGATACGGCCCAAAAGAAAATCGGACATGTTTTTTGCATTTAGCAAAAAAGTAGTTCCCACTAGGACTGGGCGATACGGCCCAAAAAAAAATCCTTTATTTTTGGGCCGTATCGCCCAGTCCTAGTGGGAACTACTTTTCCTTCCGCCTGGGTAATGTGTTGGACGTGCTCAGTCTGTCTGTTTTACATGTTCACTATTTCCATATACATGTTCATGCAATGTGATCTAAGATGCAATATTTTGTTTTATAGTAGTTCTTGATAARTAAACAATAACTTATTAAATGATTTTATTATTTAACTTTTTTGTGTGTGTGTTTCTGTATTGGCTCGGCTGAGTTTAAAATGAATAAATTAATCCGATGTCTTGTTTTCTTATGAAGCAGTGATTTGAAACACTACTTTTTAGATTTAGCACACATTATTACACAAAGTATCTCAGTTTTACTGRATCAGAATGGGAAAGGAAATTGGTGGAGAGACGGTGTCCAATAAGATGATTCTGTGAGGAGTCGGCTCTAACCAACGCCGGGCTGTCATTATACTGTATGTAAAGCAGGAAAAGCTGCCAACAGTTTATTCAAACGRCACAAACAAATTTAACAGGAACTATTGTTTGCACGTTCAGAAAGATTATTCTCCCGCTCCGTTCACAGCTCGTTTATAGTCTGCAACAAAGTGACGTCTGACTGAAGTCACAGCAGAGATCAACACAAAGCTCCTCTGAACGCCTGATAAAACGCTCTCTTTGAACGATGGAGAACGTTTACCGATCACACGTTTTCTCACCGCCAGGAGTGACTCTGCTGCCTCACAACCTGTGGGATTTAAAACAAACTGGAGAATAAAGAGAAGTGTTTCATGTCAGGCAGCYTCCTCTCCAACACCTGTAGCAAAGAGTTTCTCTGTTAATGTTTGCCGAGCCTTTACAGGCGGGAGATAAAGTCCAATGTTGACGCTACTTTATTTCATCTTCAGCGTTTAGTTTTAGAGAAACGGTCAGAGAAAAATGCAGATTTAAAGCTAWTGCTAAAGATTAAGTGTTACACATTAAAGTACCCGAGACATGTCTACAAAAAGTCAAAGAAAGCATCCTTATACTTCAGAAAATTGGCATGGTACACAGGATTTTACCCATTTTGTCACATAACCGGCCTATTTTCTTTTGAATTTTGCTCAGTCAGTGAAAAAGGAAGTGACATCAAAGGGGAACTCATTAACAAAATAAACTCACTGGTCTCTGTTTATTAAAACAAAATTATTTAAACTTTAACTCTTCTTCATCTCTCTTTGATAGTGACTAAAAATAATCTAAAGAAACATCAGATTCTTCATTACAGTCTGTGTTGTTAGCTGTTGTTACAACGCTCTGTTTACATGCTGACYTTCCCCTTTGACATCACTTCCTGTTTCTTTACGTGCAAATATCTCAACAACTGTTCATCTCAGCGACGTGAAATTTGTTTTGCAACATGTTATCAATGTTATCTTTCCAAATATGCATTCAAGTTTATTTAAAAAATACTGAATGTCACAGGCACTTTAAACTGTAATGTTTTTATTTACAGGAAACACGAGGAGCGACTGTCAGTGTCCAGCTGTGAGATTAAAAAGAGACCAGAAACACGTAAACACGAGCGAATAAAGTATTTTTAATAAA